CATATAGGAGCATCCATACAGTATGTAGACTCTGCTTTTTGGTTGTACCTTCCTGGTACACTTCTCTCACTGTAAGGGGTCTATTTATAAACAATATGCAGAACCATTTAACCTGCCAATCTCTGTAAACATTAGTTCTGTTCGAGTAGAACAAAAACAAATGTTCTTAGTATACTTACCTTTCAGGTTGAATGTAATGTAATAACGCATTATTATGAGGGGCAAAGGAAATACTTATTTCCTATGCTTCTCAGCTCCATCTAGTGGCCATAATGCAGTATTACATTACAATACAGATATGAACACAAAAAAGCGCCAGAAAGGACTGCTCAGCCAGTATAAACCAATATTAGCACGAGTATAGTCAGAACCAAAGTCTGTTAAAAATTGATAAATGAAAGCATGTATATGGAAAGGTCTGCAGGATGCTGCCCCAAACCAGCCAGGGAGACTGCAAAATCTAGGGAAAAAACACAAACAAGGGGCGCCTTTCCTGGTGCAGACAAATTTATTAAGATCAGGATCAGAGGTAGATATAAAACATACTCACAAAATTCAGCATGATTAAGGTATAAAAAGTAAGTCCATGGACCCAAGGAAAAGTCTGTGAAAGCTGCACAGCCGTGTCTTTGCGTTTTTTCCTTACATTACAATACATTTGACCTGAAAATAAATCATACTACGGATTTTAGAATTGTACCCCTGAGTCTACCAGTGGGAATTTATCTAGCTGAAAATACTTCACCAGCAATAGTGTGAATCAACCGCAATGCACATGATAGCCTGAGATTATGTCATTGCTTTTAGTCATATGAGGGTGCTTGAAGCAATATTTGTATTCATGGCAAGAAAGAGGCACTCTTTTTTTTTTTACTCAGAGTAATGCATTTCCTATTACTTACTTGTGCCAAAAAAATAGTGTTAATGATAGGTCTGCTTTGGAGATTATGCCACCAAGTGTGGAGTGAGCTGCTGTGCGGAAACCTTATTGGAGTGTACACTCCGAACATAATTAAAAAAGAGTAAAGTAAACAGTGTAATGTGCTGAGACAGCGCATCACACTGTCCAGCCACCAGATCACACTAGCCTGCCTCCTAAAACTGAGTGTTTTAGCATGCAGGTTGGTGTGAACAAGCCCTGTCTATTTTCTGCTTTCTCCATTATATGACAAAAATTATTCACTTTTATTAAACCACAATTGCCACACAAGTCTTATTCACTGCACAACTGGATTTTCTGTTCCGTAATGGGCAATTGACATCTCAGTATTATTTTAATTAAGGCAAATATTACAGCCAATGGACCTGGTTTGAGTTTGACAGTTATGAATGAGATACATCATTGATTTTATTAGTGACTCTCAGGGATCCTCTTGAAGCCTCACGGTGATTATTCACACTTTATATATTTACAGCTTCAAAATAATAGTTTTCACTCACTGCCAGGGAAGTTTAGAGCTTCCCCAAATGAGGAGAATAACTGCTGTTGAGTTACAACAGTGTATGAGGATAAATGTACCTAAAATACCTTGCTTATTTTTAATACATATCTTTGTGAGACCCATAGGGAATTACCTCATATCCAAGCAAAGGGAATTAGAGACTCGCGACTGATTCTCACGTTAACGAACCACTGTGTCTACTCATTATGAACGGGCTGCCAACATGCCACAATGGGTTAAGAAACGCACATTATCTGGTATGCGCATTAAGGTGCTCAACTCTACAGTGTATGGAGGTGGCTTTCACAATAAATGGCAACGCACTGCACAGACAGGTTGTGGGCAGGTGTGTGGTGGCAACATGAGTTTTAGATCACATTGCTACAACTTATTGGTTCTTTTTATACCACATTTGATTGGTACAGGAGTTTCATACAAAACATGGCAGTATAATGTTTGTCTACAACAGTCATCTCACCATTCTATACCCATCAATTGCTATTTCAGTTGCCTTTTAAGTGCTTAAGAACATTTGGGTTTATTTAATATGCTTTATTTTACTTTTTATAGCTGTTATAGATATTATTATTAATACAGCTCCTAATCTATTTTTTCTGTTTCTCTTTTAGATGGTTATACAACTGATGACATTGAATTTTATTGGAGAGGTGGCAACCATGCTGTCACTGGAGTTGAAAGAATTGAACTGCCACAATTTTCAATTGTAGACTACAAGCTCCTCTCAAAAAATGTTGTATTTTCAACTGGTAAGTAAATACAGTGTATGTAGCATGGTCATTATATGTCTTCTTTAAATGCTTCACTTTGTGCTATGTTTACCTTAAGGCCATAGTATTTTCCTGATCAACATGATATGGTAAAATACTTACTGAACATTAGTTAACCTCCAGAACCTAGGGTTAATTTATATACAAGAGAACCAGAGGCAGGTAAAGGTGACCATTGGCATGAGATTAGTATCTTCTAACCTGGCTGATTGGGTACATTTAAATAGCACTAGCAAATCATACCATAACTCCCAACATCAGAAGTTAAGAAAGAAGGACAACCTGTAAAGAAGAAAATAAGTGTCACAAAAAATGGGTAAATGAGCCAAAACCAGTACCTGGCTGGCAGTGAGACACTATCTGCATCTGCGGGATGCTGGGATTTTCCTAAAATCCTGGGACACTTCCATTGAATGTGGGACTGTTGAGAGGTAAGTCATACTGATACAATTTAAAGGATATCAGTGTCCAGTTAAATTCCAGAGTGCCTTAAGCTGCCCATACACCTTGCGATCATGGGACAAAACTTTTCGTCCGATGATCGAACCGTCCTACGATTTTCGTATGGCGGCCCCATCCTGCCCCGATTATCGCAAGGTTCAATCAGCTGTAGTTAAAAAAAAAACACCTGGACAAATTGCGGTAATCGACCGCACGTATTTTCGCTTGCGCATAAGCAGTTTTAATCGTACGAATTTTGACATACAGAAACGCCACCAACCTTGCGAAAATCGTACGCTTGACCAAAGTTTTCTAACCTGCTGGATAGTCAAAAGCCGATCAATTGGACAGCATTTGCGGTTCTACACTGCCCATCAACCTTACGAATATCGGACGAAAACGCGATCGCGACCGAAAATTGGCTGATAATCATAAGGTGTATTGGCACATTTAGCCAAAGTAGTGTCCAATTAATTTTCAAAATGCAATAACCAGAATAATATCCAGATAATATCCAGGATCTAAAGGATATGTTAGCATAACTTGAGCTGACCATTATTATTCCTTGCATATGAGTCCTAAAACTGTCATCCCATGATTTCCTCCACCCCCTCCTTTGACAGTAACTTGAATGCTTGATAAAGACAAAATATTAAGTTATGGAAAACGTTGCTGTCTGTTTTAAAGGCAAACAATGAGGCACAGTATAAGAAAGGTGTTGAATAATTTGAAAATGGTAAATATTTTCTAAAAAAAGGTTCAAAGTACTTTTTCATGGCTGTTGTTTTCTAAAAAAAGGTTAAAAGTGCCAACTCACTGCTGTTTGCCCCTATTCGCATAGAGGCCAAACAGCATTGAGTGAATTGCTGAATGCCACTGAGCGGCATTCAACTCGTCTATTCTGCTCGGTACCGCCCAACTGTTTCCTATTGGCCAGCTACACCCAGTTGTTATTGTTTAATGAAGCATTCCCAGGTCCCCAGATGATCTCAGGGTCGCCCAGTTGTAATGACAGATCAGTGTCATTTGCGGGGTTAATGGCCTGTTCGCCCTGCTTCGGCTGTCACTTCGGCTCAGTTGAGCCAAAGCACATGCCTTCAGCTCGGCTGAGCCGCTCGGCCATCTTCGGCTGCTGTACAGGCTATAGTGAATAGCCTGTACAGCAGCCCTTTGGTTCGACTGAACCAAAGGGCTCTGGCAGCCGAAGAGAGCTGAAGAATCAGCCGAAGGTATGGCTGAATCTTTTGGTTCTTTTGTGAATAACCCCCTAAGTGTTAAATTATGCCCAAGTAACCCATATTGCATACAAGTGTCAATCGTGGACAAATGTGTTGGTACTTTACAGCCTATTAAAACAATGCTTCATTCCTCCTGAAAATTGATTACGTTAAAATCAATTGTCTAATGTATACCTGCATACCGTTGGTATGTTTTAGAGTAAAGCAAATAATTGTGTGGAAAGAGATAAAATATTGCTTATTCTACAAAGAGATACAAAAAAGGCAGATATTTTGGTACCCCTAGAAAAGATTATAAATGTTTGGATCACAGTGGTATTTCAAACTAACTTTTCTTTAACCACTTGCTGACCGGGGTGTTTACACCCCCTTCCTGTCCAGGCCATTTTTCAGTATTCAGCGCTGTGGTACTTTGATTGGCGTTTATTCCATCATGCAACGCTGTACTGAAATGAATTTTATACCATTTTTTGGGGACAGATAGAGCTTTCTTTTGGTGGCATTTAATCACCACTGGCGGTTTTATTTTTTTATATAACAAAAAAAGTACAGAATATTTTTTTAAAAATGGTTTTCCCTTTATTATTTAAGAAAACAATAATTTTTACCCAATAGCTTGGTAAAATATAAAAGGCGGGGTCACATTGGGTAAATAGACACCAAACATGTCAAGCCTTAAAATTGCGCGCTCCCGCGAAATCGCAAAAAAACACCATAGCCAAAATTTGCCATAGGCGACGCTTTAAAAGATTTTACCGCTCATCAGTTTAGTGTTATCAGTGATTGATGGCCCTAGAATTATTGCTCTCATTGCGACGTTCGATATGTGGGGGTGGGGGACTTTAAAAAAATGTTTTGGGTTTTTTTTGTGTGTGTAAATTTGTATTTGTTTTGTGAGCATTATATATATTTTTTTTACACTTAACTTTATTGTTATCACATAGGGTGTTCCTATGTGATAACAAATTACAGTTACAGGTCTTCAGTTCAGGTCTTAAAATCCTGGTGGGTCCCCGCTCGTGCGCGCCAGCGGGCGCGGGCATGGGGGAAGTCTAAAGACACCCACCCGCATCCAGGAGACTCCCGTCCGGCCGTCTTTCAACTGTCGGCGGACAGAAAGTGGTTAAATCATATGCCACACAATCTTGCAATCACTTTTTCAGCCTATTTATGGGGAAAAATAGTTACTTCGAATTTGCTAAAATACATATTGACAAGCCACTATGCTTGTGGGAGAATGTGCTTTGGACAAATGAGACAAAACTGAAGCTTTTTAGCAAGTCACATCAGCTTTATGTTCACAGACACAAAATTAAGCTTTCAAAGAAAAGAAAACTGTACCTGCTGTAAAACATGGAGGAGGCTTGGTTATGTTTGGGGCTGCTTTGCTGCATCTGGCATTGGGTGCCTTGAATCTCTGTAGGACACATGTCAATCTCAAGACTTTCAAGGGATTCTGGAGCAAATGTACTACCCAGTAATAGAAAGTTCTGTGTCAGTCACAGGTCATAGGTCTTCCAACAGGATAATTAACCAAAACACACAGCTAAAAACACCCGAAAATGGGTAAAAACAAAAAATTCTGCAATGGGCTTCTGTGAACCCTAATCTAAATCCTGTCGAGTCTCTGTGAAAAGACATTCCCCAAACCTGAGGTATGCTAAAGAGTAGGCCAAAATACCTGTTGGCAGGGGCAGAAGTCTCATTAGAAATCAATTATTTGCAGTGATGCCTCTAAAGGTTGTGCAACAAAATATTAGGTTAGGGGCCCAACATTTTTATTCATGCCACATTTGTATGTAGCTCAGGTTTGCAGAGTGTGTTAATATCACATGAACCAATCTATCTAATCTGAAAGTTACTGCATTGCTCTGTTAAAAGGCAAAAAAAAAAAGAAAATATATACAATGAAATCACCTATACATTTACACTTGAAGTACATATATTTTTAGATGTATTTATGACATCAAGGTGGTTGTATTTCTTTGTTCTGCTGCTGCCTGTTTCACAGATCACTGTTGACATTACCTAACCTCTTTCATTGGCTGGGGTATTCTTATTGATCTAATATTTTTCAAAGTTCTATCATGCCTGAAATCTTTTTTTTTTTTTTCCAGGTTCCTATCCAAGATTATCTCTTAGCTTTAAGCTGAAAAGGAACATCGGCTATTTCATCTTGCAGACATACATGCCCTCTATTTTGATAACTATTCTGTCATGGGTTTCTTTCTGGATTAACTATGATGCCTCTGCTGCCCGCGTTGCCTTAGGTAAGTATTTCCCAATGCTTGTTAGGTATGTGAAATAAATACCAATGTTTGTTTAGTTCTATATATAAAAAGAATGTAACCTTACAAAAAATTTTAGCCAGTAGATCCACAATCAGCTATTACAAAATAATTTTTTAACTGTAGTTACCCTTTAGAAATTTTCCAGGGTATCATCAGGTACACTGAGGTCCATATCCTTTTGCTTGCATGCTAATTCAACAATTATTATTATTACACGGGACTCATATAGCACCAACAGTTTGTTCAGCACTTTACAAACAATACAATTTCAGTAGGAGGGCCCTGCTCATAAGAGCTTACAATCTAGCAGGAGGGGCAATTGATACAAAAGGTATTAACTGTTTGATATGATTTAATGGAAGAACTGAAAGGTCGAAGATATGGAGGGGGAATAGGCCTCCCTGAAGAGATGAATTTTCAAGGATCACCTAAAGATGGACAGAGTAGGAGATAAGCGGACAGATTGGGGTAGGAAGTTCCAGAGGATAGGATACACTCTGGAAAAAATCTGGATGGTGACAAGAGAGCTGGAGAGCAGGAGGTCTTGGGAGGAGTGAAGGGGGGAGTTTAGGTGATATTTTGAGATGAGGTGGGTGATGTAGGATGGGGCAGAGTTGTAGATGGCTTTGTAGGTTATTGTTAGTATTTTGAATTTTATACGTTGGGCAAGTGGGAGCCAGTGGAGCGATTGGCAGAGGGGGGATCGCGGACGCTGATTAGTTGGTGGATGAGTCTGGCAGCAGCATTCGTGATAGGCTCAAGAGGTGATAGTCTGTTTAGTGGTAGGCCAACAAGGAGGAAGTTACAGAAGGGGCGAGATATTACAAGAGAGTGAATTAGAAGCTTTCTGGTGTCATTTGTTAAAAAGGGATGACTTTTGGAAATGTTACAGAGGTTGAGTTAGCAAATTTGGATAGTGATTGGATGTGGGGCTGAAAGGAGAGCTCAGAATCAAGTAATTCACTAAGCACCCTGGCTTGATAGGAGGGGTTGATTGTAGTGCTATCGATTGTGATGGAGAAGTCCGGGGAGGGGACCCTGAGAGGAGGAAATATTATAAGCTTAGTCTTGAACAAATTTAGTTTGAGGAAGTGGTGTGACATCCATGTTGATATGTCAAAGAGTAGATAAGTGATGCGTGAGGAGATAGAAGGGGTGAACTGAGGAGTAGAGAGATATATTTGGAATATACCATAGAAATGGTATTGGAAATCTTGGGAGGTTATTAACTGACCCAGGGAGGAAGTGTAGATAGAGAATAGAAGGGGCCTCAGGACAGATGCTTGGGGGACCCCCATGGAAAGAAAAAGAGGAGAGGAGGAAGTGGAGTTATAGGTGACACTGAATGTGCGGTGGGATAGGTAGGAGATAAAACCATGAGAGAACAGAATCTTGGAGGCCAAGATATTGGAGTTTATTGAGGATGAGTGGGTGGTCATGTGTATCAAAAGCAGCAGAAAGGTCCAAGAGTATAGAGTTTTGACCATTGGTTTTAGCAGTTAGTAGATTGTTAGTAAGTTTTAGAAGGGCAGTTTCTGTGGAGTGTTGTGGGTGAAAGCCAGATTGAAAAGGGTCAAAGAGGTAGCTAGCAGTAAGGTGGCGGCTCAGGCAGTTGTAGATCAGGCGTTCAAGAAGTTTGGAGGTAATTGAGAGTAAGGTGATCTCAATCTATTCGGACTGGTGGGACCCATTGAGGGCTTTTTTTAAATGGGGTTCATGAATGCTTGTTTTAGAGGAGTAGGGACAATACCAGTAGAAAGGGAGAGATTAGTGAGTAAGAGATTGTAGAATAGAGCTAGAGGGTGACCGGAGTAGTTATGAAGGGATGGGGTTCAGGGGGCAGCTAGTTAGGTGGGTGTTGGATAAAAAGTAGCAACTTTTTCTGCGGTAGCAGGATAAATTGAAGAGAGTAATGAGTGTGGTGGTAGATGAGGTGTATTCAGAGTGGCAGATATCTGGACGGTGGCAGCCTCATGGTGAATTACGTCAATCTTGTCTTTGATTACAAATTTGTGCCATAACTGCTGTCTGGAAATATTCCATATATATAAGATAGTATTATACAGTAACTAACTTTACCAAATGAGTTACATGTGCTGAGGAAACCTTCTTCAGGTGCATCAGAAAAAGGGTCAAAGAAAACACACCCATCAAAGCTGAACCCCAGCCCTGCTTTCAGCCTTGCACAATTATACAGGCTCCTCTCTTGTACTGAAATTGCTTACTTTGATTTTGCTGCACACTGTGAGCTGTATACAGTTCAGCAAGTCAAATAGAGCTCACCTTATTACTTAGCTGAAGGATGTCCAGCATCATTTAGTCATTCCTCCCCAACCTGGCTTTTCATGGCCTGCCTCTTTGTTTTATTGGTTTTCAGTTCTTTCAACTATGGAGACTTAGCTTCGCCTAAGGCAGTCTGCATGCATATGCAGTCAACCTAGGAATGCCTACTTCTCCAGACTAAAACTCACCCATGAAGTAGTTTTGATATTTGTATAACTCCTGCCAAAAGCCTGCCACCTGCTTGCATCAGGGCTGAGGGCTCTTGAGAATACTGACGCAGGGTGCTGTGATGATTTCAGGAAGCTATATACAACACTGTTAGCCATGATCTGCATTTATTGCATAGAGAAGAACAGAGACCCAATAATTATATCATTATGTTTTTAAAAGTTTTTTTTTTAATGGATGTTTTTTTATTTAAAAATGGTGTTAGCATGTTTATGAAGAGGAGAGGGTCAGAACCAGGAAACTCAAAATATAAAGCAATTATGTATAGGAATAAATGGGTAAGGTCAAGCCTCCCATCAGGATAAGGGAGTAAAAGGGGATCATAAAGTAGTCCAAACAGCCAGCAGGGACAAACAGTTCTAGTTACAGAGCTATAACTAGCTATAATAGATAACAAAATAAACGTTATTATTCAAACTAGACCTTAGTTCAAACTTGTAGTAATGTACATTGCCATGCAACTGTCTCTGAACAGAAGGGATGTCACCAATAGTTGGCAAAAATCTAAATGTATAATAATAATAATCCTATAAACTGGCAGAGTATTTCAAATATAATTAAACTTGAACCATAAAACTGTTAACAGCAAAATGGGGGGAAAATATGGTAATCATGTATCTGGCACCATGCCATCAGTAGCAGATTCTTAAAGTCCTGCAGGTTGCAATTGACTTATTTTTCCAACACATCCCACAGATGCTCGATGGGATTTGATTTCTGGAGAATTTGGGGGTAAAGTCAATACCTGAAATGCATTGTTGTGTTCCTCAAACCATTCTGGAACCATTTTTGTAGTGTGACAGGGTGCATTTTTCTGTTGCAAGAGGCCACTGCTATCAGGGAATGCCATTTCCATGAAGGAGTGTACTTGGTTAGCAGCAGTGTTTAGGTAAGTGGTATGTGTCAAAGTAACATTCACATGAATGGCAGAACCCAAGGTTTCTCATCAGAACATTGCCTTACAATGCCTCCGTCAGCTTGCCTTCTTCCCATAGTGCATCCTGGTGCCATTTCTTCCCCAGGTAAGCGGCACACACACCTATCCACATGATGTAAAAGAAAACATGATTCATCAGACCAGGCCACCTCCTTCCATTGCCCTGTGGTCCAGTTCATATGCTCATGTGCCCATTGTAGGTCCTTTTGGCAGTGGACACTGGTCAATATGGGCACCCTGACTGGTCTGCAACAAACTGCAATGAACTGTGTGTTCAGACACCTTGCTATCATAACCAGCATTACCTTTTTCAGCAATTTGAGCTACAGTAGCTCTTCTATTAGATCGGAGTGCATGGGCCAGCCTTCACTACCTATGTGCATCAATGAGCCTTGGTGCCAGAGTTTCTTACCGTAGCACTCAACCCTGCTTCAACATGCAGATGAGGAGGAGAGCGTGGTGTGATGGTGTTGAGCGACAAGGTCGTATTCTTCCGTTGAGTTGGTGGAGGTGTGATGTCAATGACGGAGGTACGATGAGGAGCTGGTGGTGGTTTAGCAAGCGGTGTCCTGGTCTGGTCGCCCGTTGGGTTGTAGTCCGGTCGGTGTGCTGCCCGGATGGTGGGAGTGATCCTTGGGCAGTTTAGTTGCTGTTGCAGAGATCCTGGTGGATAATCCTGAATGCCAGGAGCATTGGTGAAAGAGGAGGCGAGGCTAGAGGCACCTGTGGTGGCGGTGCGGGACCCGGAGGTATGGTGTCCTCGTTGCTAGGAGATTCAGTGGAGATGAGGGGGGGCGGTTAGGCAGAGGAGCTGCCGTGGTGTTGCAGCGTTCGGCTGCTCTGGAGATGCCTTCTGTCTGTGTGGGGGCTTAGCGTCCTGTGGGGTGGAGAAGCTGTCAGGACACAAGCTTCCACTCAGCAGCACAGAGGGGCTAAGTCTGCCCAGAGCAACAAGGACGCCCCACACATTTAAACCCCCCCCCCCATTTCCCCTACTCACCTGTCGGTACGTTCTGCCCTTACCCCTTCTGGTAACATTTTACTCCTTGAGTATGCCCCCTAATTTGCATACTGCTCATAGTGACCATGGCACACCTCAGGTCAAGTTAGGCAGGTTCATCATCTCTGTGTTCAGGTGTGTAACAGTGGGGCTCTGACTACAAATAATGATAGATGGCACACAAATTATTTTCCCAAAGTAATGAGTTATACAATAGTTTATCATTAACCACCATACCAGGGGAACAACACCACTTGAAAGGACACTTGTGATAAGAGAAATATGAAGGCTACCACTGCTGACTTCTCCTTTTGGAAATGTTAGTTAGCTGCCTATTATGCTGATGCTTTGGCTTCTATACCTTTCGTCAGTGACATGTAAACGAATATACAGATAAGGAATTCTGACTTTTCTCTCAGAAGTATTGGAGCACAATCAGGCGGCATCTGACATTTTCAGTAAGAGGTTTTATGACAGGTGCACATAAAAATACCTCAAGCAATTGAAAAAAAAAAAGCAGAGACAAAATTTAAGAACAAATACCAAATTCTTGATTAAGCCCTGAGCTTCTGCACATACTGTATGTTTACACATTACATGTTTGGGTTCACTAACTGCAATAGTTATCACTTCCAGATTCACTTCACAGATTTCCATATAGCTTACATCATACTAATGTGTATCTACTGGCATTCTCATAAACACTTTTGTTTTCCCTTGTTTATACACTGAATATTGTATATTCAGTTCAGGGGTTTTGTACATTGTCCTTGTGCTCCTATGTAACAAGTTCATGCTCTGCGTATGTGGGGAAATTGTCTGATGTACACCAATTTCCAAATGTACTTTGATATCTATATAGTTCATAGTACATAAAATACCCCTTTATGACTTAAATCTCTCCAATTCAAGTAAGTCACAAAATTGGCTGCAATTGGTTCTGCCAATCGATGCATGGAATCATACTATAATGTACTGCTCTAAACGATATATTTTTTCATTCTTAAGTCCACTACCACAAGGTATCACACACTTCCATAGCAACTGTATTCTTGCAAGAATATTATAGCGATAACTAGATCAGATGCCACTCAAACTCATTGCCTGTGTAGAGGTTTATCAAACCTAAAGATAAACTGTACATCATCATTAAAAACATTTTTAAGTGAACCACTTTTATTTGAGGATCTCAAGCCCCCTGCAATTAACCTGTCTGATACAAGTGTCTCTTACATTTATGCCAATCACACCCCCAGTTTACAGAAACATGACTTATGTGCTTCACCACTACAATTATAATTAGATATGATATACTTGCAGTCTCCTGGGAGCATCTGATTTAGAGAGATAGTATGGGTGATGGTCAACATTAGGGATGCACTGATACCACTTTTTTAAGACCGAGTACGAGTACCGATACTTTTGATCAAGTACTCACAGATACCAATTACCGATACTTTTTCTTAAAGGGACAGGTCACATTTTTTCTAAAGCAATACAAACTAATGCTTTAAGGTCACTTTCTTAATATTATGATTCATGAGATGACGAGGGAGCATGACACCAGCTTCCCGGCCAATCAGAATGCCGGGCGCTGCGTCATTACACGGCGCCCGTCTTCCGGATTTGCTAGCTTCCTGACCAATTGGGAAGCCGGGCAGCGTGTCATTGCACGCTACCCGGCTTCCTAACTGGCCGGGAAGTCGGCTCCATGCTCTCTCATCACAAGTGACGAGAGAGCATGGAGCCGTTTCCTGGCCAACCAGGAAACCGGGCAGCGTGTAATGATGCGCTGCCAGGCTTCCTGATACAGGAAGTACTCGTGCTAGGTATTGGAGCATTTGGGCGAGTACGAGTACTCGCCCAAATACTCGGTATCGGCACCGATACTAGTATCGGTATTGGTGCATCCCTAGTCAACATGCAAACAATGGGACTTATTTTCGTTCTTTTTCTCTGTAAATAGCACAACATCAGATTGAATATTGCAGTAGCAAGATGGGGTATAATCTGTCCTCTGCATAATAAGCAGCTGGAAGAAAGAGTGAAGTAGCAGTGTGATCCATCTTTTATTGTTTACATCATTTTTTAGTGATTTTTTTAAGTGCAGCAGCAACCCAAATAACCTTTACAAGTAATGTTATTGTATTTATTTGTGTTGAATTGTTGAAATAATATTGGTAAAGATACAGTAACACTTACGGATCGAAACCTAGAACAATGCATTAGACCAGGAGCATGTAGTTCACAAATGGCTAGCACTAAGTGGGTACGTTTCAGTAGAAATTATGCCTGTGGAGTGTACACCATGCTAAAATGAAAATATGACTGCATGTGGGTATTTCATTTTTGCAAATCATTACATTCAGCATTAACCATGCTTCAGGATTGGTGGAAGAGAGTCAAAGGTTGTCAATTCCAAGTAATACATTTCTGGACCAGCATATATATCTATTAAATTAAACTCTGTCAAGTCTACACTGTACAGTATTTCAGTGAGCAGTGTGCAGTGCAAACAAAAACACATCTTATAGTTAATTGTTCTGCAACACAAAAATGCAGCATTGTGCATGACTGTAGAACATGTAGTGATGATTAATTTACTAATTATTGTTTTAACACATTAATATTCAGGTTATATTTGGTAAAAGATGAGAAAACATAAAAAATCACTTAATGGCATTAACTAATTTACATAAGTTAAAAAAAATGTAATTAGAGGTATTCTTTTTTTTTTTTAGGGATCACAACTGTTCTCACTATGACAACTATCAACACTCACCTTCGAGAAACACTACCTAAAATCCCTTATGTGAAAGCCATTGATATGTATCTTATGGGATGTTTTGTATTTGTTTTCATGGCATTGCTGGAGTATGCTCTTGTCAACTACATATTTTTTGGTAGGGGGCCACAGAGGCAAAAAAAGGCAGCAGAAAGGGCCGCCAGTGCCAATAATGAGCAAATGAGAATGGAACTTAATAAGGTATACCTTTTTAATTACTTGAATCATATGCACTGATTATGTGATCAGATTCATCTCGTCGTGCAAAATTGTCAGTTTATTTGGTTTTCTTATGTAGTTCCTTTGATATTGAAATTCTGAAGATATTCTGTGACAAGGCCATGGACATTCAAGTATTTGCATATTCTCAACAAGTAGTAAATGGGATTTAAAACAAGCCCTTGCCGACCTCTGTGGTTGCAGACACTTTGAAGAAATTCATCCTCCAGCACTGAAATTTGTGTTTTTTCAATAGCTCAGTTCACTCTGCTTCCCCCTTCCAGAGCATCTGTTTTGTGTTTATTGTAGAGATTGGAAGGCTGCTGAGACACTGCTTGAGCACGGAGAGAGCTGAGCTTCTAAGACAATGATTTGATATCTTGGATAATGCCCAACTTTCTGAGTATGGGAAGGAGGGACATATTTTAGCCAAACTGGGTATGCAAAGGACACACCCCTGCCACATCCCAAATGATGCCGACCACAAAGATTTAATACATGAAAAATGCTTAGGCCCACAATGCTTTTTTTCACCACTACTTTTCCTTTATACATGTTTTTCAAAATAATACATTTAATTATGAGTGATTTAGCAAGGGCTTATTTTAATGCTTACTTTCCGCTTGTCCTGAATATGTGCATATTTGAAAGTAACATTCATATAGCCTAAACACAGGTTCACGTTAAGATAGCCTTGTCTATTCTTGTAGTGGGCATTTTTTTAAGGTTTATTTTCTTTGATAACACTGAATGAGTAAATTAATGATTTTTTTTTTTAAGCATACGGTTTTTTATTGAAATTAACAACGAATCGATACAGAGAAAACAGTTTCATTCAAAGTTATGAATTACAGCATTAGATAAATTGTGCATTTTTTTTCACATAGGAATATAGTATCGAGAGAATATTTATAGGAATAACACGTAGCATTGTAACGGTGTCTAAGTATACTAATGAATTTTATCCAGATGTTACATACATAGTTAAATAGTATTCGAGGTTGAATAAAGACACAGGTCCATCAAGTCCAATCTATTGCGTGTGTGCATGTGATTCTTCATGTGTATGAGTCCATGTGTTATCTTGTTCCTAAGTGTACCTGTACCCTTGTATGTTATGGTCTCTGAGGAAATCGTCCAAATGCTTTTTGAATGATTCCAGACTCTCTGCTGAAATCACTGCTTGCGGCAGAGAGTTCCAGACCCTAACCGCTCTAACTGTGAATAACCCCCTGCGCGCCTTGTGCCGAAATCTCTTCTCCACCAATTTTAGGTGGTGGCCTCTAGTCTTTGTTTTGGAGTTTACCGTAAAAAGTTTATTGCTGATGTAGCTATCCCAATTGAACATCCTATACATCAGAATCATATCCCCCCTTAATCTCCTTACTTCCAGCGTGAACATGTTTAAATTTAGCAACCTTGTCTCATAGCTTTGGTCTTCCATCCCCTTAATTAGTTTGGTTGCCCTTCTCTGGACTCTTTCCAGCTCAAGGACATCCTTTTTGTGGATTGGTGACCAAAACTGGACCGCATACTCCAGATGAGGCCGAACCCACGATCTATAAAGTTGCAAACTTATAGACTTGTCTCTATAGTGCATTCCCCTTTTAATGCAAGACAGTATTCTGCTCACTTTGTTTTAAGCAGCCTGGCATTGCAAGCTATTATTCAATCTGTGGTCTACTTTGACCCCCCAGATCTTTTTCCATTTCTGACTTTCCTAGTGGAGTTCCCATTAATGTGTATTCCGCTTGCCTATTTTAACCCCAAAGTGCATTACTTTACATTTATCGACATTAAACCTAATCTGCCATATAATTGCCCACTCGCCTATTTTGTCCAGGTCCTCCTGTAATGTTATAGTGTCTAGTTCCGTGTCTATTACCCTCCCAATTTTAGTATCATCAGAAAACAAAGAAACTTGGCTATTCACACCCTCCCCAATATCGTTATTGAACAGGTTGAATAGCATGGGGCCTAGCACTGATCCCTGAGGCACGCCACCCATGACCCTAGACCAATCCAAAAAGGAACCATTTATCGATACTCTTTGGACAAGTTCCTGTAGCCAGTTCTCTATCCATGTACACACCATTTCATCTATGTCCATAGACCTCAGCTTGTGTAGTAAGCGTTTATCTGGTACCGTGTCAAATGCTTTTGAAAAATCTAAAATACTTCATCCACTGGCCTCCCTCCATTTAGATCTCTACTTACCCTTTTGTAGAATGTTAATAGGTTGGTCTGGCAGGAACAGTCTTTCCTAAATCCATGCTGGTTATCATTTACTATGCCATTATCCTGAACAAACTCTACTAAGTAGTCTTTTATTATTCCCTCTAACAGTTTGCATACTATGGATGTAAGGCTGACTGGTCTGTAGTTCCCAGGTTGGCATCTTGACCCCTTTTTGAATATTGGTACTACCGTAGCTTTCTGCCAGTCACTTGGTACACTACCAATCATTAAGGGGTCCCTCATGACGGAATAAACGTCAGTCAAAGGACTGCAGCGCTGAACACTGAAAAATGGCCTGGCCAGGAAGGGGGTCTAAACACCTGGTCTTGAAGTGGTTAAACCTGTCTTTTTCCTGCGTGTATACAGAGGAGAAAAAAGAATTCAACACCTCGGCCCTCTCCCTGTCGTTTGTGATTAATCTCCCCTTATCATCTTTTATTGGACCTATCTGCTCGTTTCATCCGTTTTTACTATTTATGTATTGGTAGAATTTTCTTCACCGACCGACACACCTCCCTTTTCTGTACCCGATATTAAAAATAATCACATTGTGATCTCTATTACCCAGTGTCTCCCTAATTGCAATATCTTCCACTAATTCCGCAAATGTTTCTCTGCCCTTGTGACACCTGATTCTCCTAACATTTATACATATATCCTGATTTGGGACAAAGACAAGACCGAAATGCTGTTTTTAAAGGATTTTACATAATAGTATTTGTTAGTCTCTTCTTTCTCTAAGCTTGATTAGGATGCTTTTATGATAATCAATTTGATTCTATGTTGAATTTTTATTTGATTATTGGTTTCCACACAATTGAGAACTGTCTGTATACAGTACATTATCAGGCTACAAGAGCATTGCTTCTCTTCTATACATAATGTTATTCCCAAAAAGTATTATTGTAAACTATAGCAGACAGTCATTTTTAACAGTCCAGCATTGTAATTGTAAGGTTTTGTGAAGCAGATTAAAAGAAAGAAAAGATTGAAACATTAGAAGAAAACAGGAACGATACTTACCTTGTAGCTTTGGCTTCTGGCTGGTTCTTGTATACTCCTGCAATTTCACTAGGTTTTTTAGCTGCATCCTGGAAAAGCTGAGTAGTCTATATCCCCTGAAAATATGCATTGGCACTGTGCGCATTCGCTGGGCCATATCACTACCTACCAGGAGGTAATGATGAGGCCCAGTGATGTCACCGTTACTAATTATGTTTATTTTTTTCTTTATTTATTTTGCAATTCGCATTTTTAATTGGTTTGGCGAAGATATAAGTTGACCTAAAAAAATATCGCTCTACCTCCGTATCTCATTGCAGCTAAGAAAGATCACTGGTGCCAAGGCTCCTGTATGCCCAAAAAAAATGCAATAATCCCAGGAACATGGCATAAGTTATTTGAAATGTTTATTAGTAAATTATGCAAAAAGCGTCATAAAAACCACAGCAGTGAGCAGTCACGCTAATGTGTTTTAGCCATAATGGCCTTAATCATGATTATGATTTTTAATGCAAAAGATTCTATTGTCTTTGATAATTTGAGCATGTGTTTGTGTTGATTTGTTTTTTCACTTAACGATTGCCTCTTACTCCATACTGACCAATAATTAAATTACAACATCTCCTTTCTTGCTTACCTTTCTCAACATATTTTATCAATGACAAATTAATCACAGAGATACTTTTTAGAAGTAAATTATGTTTACTGAATTACAGTCCTTTATTCAGCAGAGATACTTGGAAAAGTATTTCAAAGCTTATTTTACAATTAATGAATTAAAAAGTGACAAGTGAACTTTTAATAACTACCTTCACTAGAGCCCTAACCTTAACTAAGGGCTATACTCTCAGACTGGAGACAAGGCAGTGGAAGCTCACTGTGCAGGTTTGGCCAGTTTTCTGCCCAGAGGATGTGAAGTGCTGTGGAAGCCACTGGGGGTTGTTACCTTATTATTGGGTTACTTTAAGCTGGGTGGGTATGTTAAGCAGAAGATCTTATGCAACAAATTAACTGCTGAAAAATCATTCCCAAAACAGGAAGCACTCCTAAGCTAGCACTAAAGAATGTGATGGCACATTGGGGGGATTTTATCAAAACTGGAGCAGTTGCCAGTACAAGCGTATATCTACTAATAGAAGGAATGTTCAGAAGATTTCAGACGATACGGCTTATTTGATGTCTGCTGGATGTATTATGTGCCACTGTATCTGCTGGTTCATTATGAATGTACAAAGCAATGTCTTATATGCATACAAACCAATAAAAACACTAACAGTTTAAAAGAAAAAAAAACTGGAGCAGTTGCCCATAGCATCCAATGAGCTGTTCTCTTAAAGATGGTTCTGTCTGCTCCAGTTTTGATAAATTCTGCCTGTTAACTGTAACTTTATACCACAGTATATGTAAGAACGTTTAACGACTGTCCACAAAATCAAAGAATGTTATACATAAACATGTAAAATAATATGTGTAATTATAGATAATTCAAGGTCAACTTGAATTCACAGTCAACTTTTTCTATCACAATATTTGTTATCTTAAGTGATACTGTATACGGTTGTGGTTGTTTGTCTACAGTCTGAACCTTTTTTCCCTAATCTGCTGAAATCACTGTTCTCTTAGCCCAGGCATCTAATGTGCTTTTACAACCTTACTACCTTGTCATTTTTACAAATAGTGTAAAATTGTTACCAGTGACAGCAAGTTTAAAAAGGTTATGACTCTTCTTTTTATTCTTTATTAGATGGATCCACATGAAAATATTTTACTTAGTACACTTGAAATTAAAAATGAAATGGCAGCATCAGAAGCTGTGATGGGTCTTGGTGATCCAAGAAGCACCATGCTAGCTTATGACACCTCCAGCATCCAGTACCGAAAAGCCGGATTACCAAGGCATAGCTTTGGGCGCAATGCCTTAGAACGACATGTGGTACAAAAAAAAAGCAGACTACGGAGACGTGCATCCCAGTTGAAAATAACCATACCTGACTTGACTGATGTAAATGCCATTGACAGATGGTCACGCATGATCTTTCCCGTGGTTTTTTCATTCTTCAACATTGTCTACTGGCTTTATTATGTGAACTAAGACTAAAAGCCATGCAATAGACAAGAACTGGATGTCTGTTCGGTTTATGTGTGAAACAAGTGGGGCTTAGAACAAAACAAAAAAAACATATTCAGGACACAAGCTGTTTTAAAACACCTTAGTTGCTGGCAGGTTTCACCATTCTATATGTTGTATAAAGTCAATAAAGACTCATTAGACGCATAATTACCTCCCATCTCCTTTAGGAGTTCTAAGGTGGCTTTTATATACATGATAAGGCTTTTCCCTGTGTGCATAAAAGTGTACTGAAGATTGTCTCATAGTTTACATGTTTGATTAATGCATCTGATATTAACTATTCATTCTTCCTAACACTTTAATACAATAACAAGCTAACGTATCTATTGCACCTACATTTGTTTTCGTAGATATTTTACTTGTATTGCTAATTTATTTTTTTATACACATAAACTTGAAAAATGTTGTGCCTCTTGTTGAAGATCTTTACAATGCCAATGACCAGGTTTTTTTTTATTTGAATTTACCACATTTTATGTTTCATTTCCCCAAATATTATTCTTTTTTTATTTAAAACCATATTGAATAATTTATGAAAATGTTATTCTAGCTTAATTACAATCTTTTTGAATATTATTGAAAAAAAAGTCATCAATAAATTATTTCCATGAAAAATATTTTAAAGTTAACACATTCTTTGAATAAGACCATAGCAACAGTCAAAAGTATGGTAAGCATTTTTAATAATATGCAATATACAGACATACTTGCCACTACCTACTTGTATATCATTAGTTTTAAAAATATTACATACATTCTGAAAGGAACCTAGATGACAGATTTCATATATGAAATTGTGACCATATATTTATAAAAATAGCAATTTAAAAGCCATAATAGTACCCAACACTTATGCTCTCAAATCTGTATTCCCCCTATGGACCCGAGCATTTTCTACATTTCCACTATGGGACTGTTTATTTGACAATAATGTTGTCATTACTTAAAATAACAAACTAATACATACTTTTTTGGGGGGAGGGGGGACTCGCCTCTTTTTTGGCAATATGGTTTTGCAAAATGTATTTTCTATGTGATTTATAGACAACAAAACATTTATTTTTAATTTCCCTTATTTTATAACTAGACCCCATTAAAATAACTCTAAAATCATATTTCTGGTATAAAGCATGGCAAAGCTATTTGCACATTAAAAAAGAGCCATTTTCCCCAATTTTGTTCCTTTTTTGTTATGCGACACTGAAAAAAGTAACAAACAAAATTAATGAAAAAAATATTAATGGTAAAAATAAAAAAAATCATTAAAAAATAAAAGTTCAGGGAAGGAGATGAGGAAGTAGCTAATTAGGGCTGATTAGGGTTGACTAACGATTAATAAGAGCTTCCTATACCTTTGAGCTTCCTATGAATGAAATAATAAATACAATAAAACAATACTTTGATTCATTGTATTTATACAGTGATACTTGCAGACCGTATGCAAGTGTAATTTAAACAGAAGCAGCTACATTTTGAAAGACGTTCCAGCTATATAAATCAATACAATTGCCGGCTGTTATTTCGATGTAATTGCTGGCAGCTATTAATAGTAGTGTTAAAGTGACATTAAAGTTAAAAAAAAAATTCCCTCCCCCCATGTTAATGTTAGCACTTACCTTTAAATTATGTCTCTTATTCCGATCTTCTTTCCTGATGCTTTCATCTGTCCCTCCAGCGGTGCGGCGGCTCTCCGATCCAGCGCTGACTGCTCTGTCCCTCCAATCCAGCGGTGTCTGCATGCGGGTGTACGCGTCCATAGACTTACCTTGCGTCTCTGCTCGGGAGCGTGCAGCGATAATGAGTTAAGTTTAAACATAGTTAAAGCGGTTTTTTTTTAAACTTCTTGTCTACATCTACCGCTCGCTAACAGTAGATCTAGGCAAAAAAAACCGGAGGGTTTAGAACCCCTTTAAGCAGAGCAGTGGCAGCGGTAGGAGAGGAGCAGGACATGAGATTCATCCTAAAAACTTTGTTATAGTTATTTAGGAAATATATCTCTTGCTCAAAATCCACACGTGGTTAATTAAAAATAATGACATTTTTACTAAATCCCTCTCACTCTCCAAATATAAACAACATAGAGTGTGATTGTTCAGTAGTCCAACTAGGAGGGCTAATTAGACTCCGTGAGCTAACACAGGCAGTGTGCACAGGACACAGCGCAGATCGTAATTTCTGACAAGATCAACTAGTATTTTTTGCACGTATTGAACAGATATATATAAAAAGCTTTTACTTGAATGTATTTGAAAGGGGTGAAAATAAGAGATGTTCATTGTTAGGGTTGACATATACTTTAAAAATATAAATAGAATACCCTACGTCATTAAGAACTGTTATTATGGTCTTTCCATTTAAGTAATTTTGCTGTAAAAATTCCATGTCCATTATAACTTAAACAATGCTACACCAACATTTTTAGCACACAGCCTATATGTGGTAATTGCTATTCTTGGTCTTGGTATTCTAAAGGTGTCTTGAAAATTGTAGAGTTCATAGTCAACTTTATTCACAACCATATTCACAACCATGAGATGCTAATTTATATTTTAATGTGCTTGTGGATCATAATGTCATGGAAAGCATGAATACACTGTACACTAGAATGTGGATTTAGAATTACCATAGGAAAATACAGAATGTAAACTCATGAATAGAATGTACACATTGTAGCCAATCTGCTTCCTTAACCAAGTGCCACATTTATCAGCTTTGCCTGCTTTGTTGAGATAAGGGACTGTATCAGCTCCTTACATATTGCATGCTAGCATTATTAGAGGGCTCTGCGCATAGGGTGCAAAAAGTTACAAGGGCAGCATAGGAGGACATTTTTCAGCATGATTCAGAATCACCTTATACATACTTCCTGCTTACAGGCTAACTCCTTTCACCCTGAGCTTAGCTTCACTAAAAGAAATAGAAAATGAAATAAGGTGTGCTATTATTTCTGGTACTATGACAGTTTAAAATCCTTAACAGAAATCTATTGCTAAATTGCTACAATGGACTTTTTTATGTTAAGTGATAGGGAGCAACATGAATAAATAGATGCTAAAAAGGAATTTTATGAGGTAATGCTGATCTGTCACCCCAGCAAACCCCTGTTTAAAATCACTCCTGGGTGTGACCTGGTTAAAAGATTCTCAGCAGATATCTAATCACTCAATAGTTTTCATTGATATTGGTCTAAATACACAAACTATACAAATTATTATCTACTGCAACTATTATTACAACCAATTATACTAAATATATTGTTATGACAATACAAAATATTTGTATTACTGAGCAAGTCTTATCATTTACTAAAAGGGAGTAAGGCTTATGGCTAAAAAATGTTTGTGCTTCACTGCATTTCAGCCAGCTGCCCTCTACTTCCTCTGCTCCACTGCATTACAATTTATATATGTGTGTTCTCCTCATTCCACCAAACTTTCCTACTTCTATCAGAAGTACTTAGATGAAAGTTGACAATTTTCCTATAGTTGCTTCCTACACTTGGGGACATATTTATGAAACATTTACAGTCGGTTAATTATTCCCTAATTGTAAACACAGGTACCTTGAAGATTCACCTGCAGTAAATATTTGGTGAATGTTACATTCATTGCTGTATAATTATGTCCCTTATGAACATTAATAAAAGAAACATTGCACAAACTTTGTCTATTAGAACCTTAACACCAATCATGCCAACCTGAGTATGCTTCAAACACCCTATCAGGTTAGAGGTAATATCTTTATTTTTTCATTCCTTGTCCAGTTGGATATTTGAAGAAGACACAGATTTGTAAGGCTGACACAAAATGTTCTTTATTAGCAATTATGTGATAATATAATAAGTAGGGATGCACCGGCACCGATACTATTATCAGTGCCAATACTGAGTATTTGGGTGAGTACTCATATTCGCCCAAATGCTCTGATAATTACCGCAAGGGAACATGGAGCCGGCTTCCCGGCCAATCAGGAAGCCGGGTGGCAGGTAATGACTCGCCACCCAGCTTCCTGATTGGCCAGCAAGCTGGCTCCATGGTGTTTGGCTGGCCCAATGCTGATTGGCCGGAAATCCGGCTTCCCAGCCAATCAGCATCAAGCCAGCCAAACAGCATGGAGTCGGCTTCCCGGCCAATCAGGAAGCCGGGCGGCAGGTAATAACCCACCTCCCGGCTCAATGCTGTTTGGCTGGCTAGATGCTGATTGGCTGAGAAGCTGACTTCCTGGCCAATTAGCATTGAGGTGGCCAAACAGCATGGAGCCAGATTCCCGGGCTAATCAGGAAGCCGGGCACAGGTAATGACCCACCTCCTGGCTCCATGCTGTTTGGCTGGCTCGATGCTGATTGGCTGAGAAGCTGGCTTCCTGGCCAATTAGCATTGAGGTGGCCAAATTTCATGGAGCCAGCTTCCCGAGCAATGAAGAAGCCGGACGGCGGATAATGACATGCCACGTGGCTTCCTGATTGCCCGGGAAGCCGGCTTCATGCTATCGGAACTACAGTTATTGGTACTCATTATGGGCGAGTACCGAAAGATAAATATCAGTACTGGTACTCAATATCGAAAAAACGGTTTTGGCGTCCCTAATAATAAGCTTACAATTATATTGTTAGGCATTGGTCTTCCTTATTCCTATCATTTTTATTATTGATAAAAGTCATAACTGGTTTTCATTTTACAATATAACTAACCCTATTTTGTAAAGCAAGAATATTTGATAGATGAAAATCTGTATCCATGCTACTGTATTTTCCCAAAAGGTAGTAGTGTCTAGCTATAGATTTCTGTTAAAAAAATGAATTTCCAGATTTGTATACAGCACATTGATTATTAACAGTGCCTATTTAATCACATGCTGCATTTAGCATTGTTGTATATAGTAGAAAACTGATCCAAGACTTTTAGACCAAGGAAGTATGCATTTTGATTGGTTAAAATGTTGCATACTCAGAAATCCAAAACCTATTTCTTTGAATATATTTACCTTGGGGTTAAGGAAAGTAAAAAAATATATTTTTGTAGCAATGGACAGAAATATAGCAGACCTTACCTTATATTTATTTCTTTTAATAATCTAGGCCACAATGTCTATATGAACATCAAAGGAGAGCAGTTCCATTGAGAATAGAGAAAATTTCATTCAGAATTTCTTGAGGCCACTTTGTTCTTTGTATAAAGAGCTCAGCCAATCGAAGTAATGACATTCAGAAACAGCCATATTATAAAGGAAACATGAAACATAATGGCTTCCTTAACATTCAGGCAAAACAGAATGCATTGACAAAATGCATTGTGACACTTTATTGCTAACAAATTTTGTTAAGCAAAGCGACAATCCAGCAAATATGGTGTTTTTGAATGTTCAGAGGTCTGAAGCAGAGCTTAATACTTTTTCAGAGTATTGGTGGGTTTGCAACATAT